TAATCAACCCATTTTTTATAGTTTGAACTGCTCTTTCGGCCTGCCCATTGGATTGGGGATGGTAGGGTGGTGAAAATATATGTTTGATTCCATTACTTTTACAAAATAATTGGAATTCTCTAGAAGTAAATGGTGGACCATTGTCAGACACTAGCACCACTGGCAGACCAAAAATAGCAAATGAATTTCTTAGTTTATCAATTGTGTTCAGCGCACAAGTACCCTTATTCATAATATACACATCTAACCACTTACTATAACTATCTATAATTAATAAAAAAGTGACACCATTTTTCACAAAAAAATCTATATGGACTCTATACCAATTATGAGGTGCTTTTGGCCATGGCTGAAGACATGCATTATTTGAAACATTTCTGGTGGATTGGCACAACACACATTTATCCTATTAATATTATAAAGGCGAAAGTTTGTAAGTATGGATGTATGGATGTTTGTTACTCTTTCACGAAAAAACTACTGGACGGATTTGGATAAAACTTTACAGCAATATAGGTTATACATCAGAATAACACATAGGGTACTTTTTACTGGGAAAACTTCTCACTCCCACGGGATACCGACTTCCACGCGGACGAAGTCGCGGGCGTCCACTAGTTAATCATATTTTCTACATCCTGGTCTATTCCAGGCCAATAACATGTACCTCTCACAACCATCTTAGTCCGAACAATACCTATATGCTGCTCATGTAATAACTTTAAAACCTCTAAACGCAGCGATGCTGGTATGATTACTCTAAGCCCATACAACAAACAACCACTTTCAATGGAAATAAGAGATCTCTTTTGGTAATAGGGTTTGAATACAGGTGAGATGTTATACTGTGGCCAACCCCTCATAGTATAATCTAAAACCTTACATAATACTGGATCTTTTGAGGTTGCTACTGCAATGTCTTTTGAATCTAATGGCAAATTATTATCAAAATTAAAATAATTGATATTCTCTTCTGGGAATTCTTCAATTAATAAAGGTAATCTAGATAAAGCATCAGCATGGCCTAGCAAGGTACCTTTTTTATACTTAATTTCATAGTTGTAAGCTGACAGTAAAACAGCCCATCTCTGTATTCTTGCTGCTGCAACTACTGGTATACTCTTATTTGGATTGAAAATTATTTGCAGGGGTTGATGGTCCGTTTCTAATACAAAATTGACACCATACAGATACTTGTGAAATTTTTTTACAGCAAATATAATAGCATAAGCCTCTCTTTCTATTTGAGAGTACTTTTGTTGAGATTTAGACAAGGTTGTAGAAGCAAACATGACAGGCCTTTGTTCTCCTTCTACAAGGTGACTAAGAACTGCTCCTACCCCATAAGAAGATGCATCACATGCCACAATAATTGGTTTCTTTGGATCATAGTGTGTTAGTAACTGGTTATTTAACAATAAGTCTTTGCTTTTTTTAAATGATGAATCACACTCCAAATCCCATTTGAAAATTACATCCTTTCTTAACAGTCTGTGTAAGGGTTCTAGAACCATTGATAAATTTGGCAAAAATTTACAATAGAAATTTAAGAGACCTAAATAGGATTTTAACTGTGTTACATTTTCAGGAGGTGGAGCATTCCGGACCGCCTCTATTTTATCTTCAGTGGGATGAATGCCTGTACTATCTATCCTGTGTCCCAAATATTCCACAGATTTAGCAAAAAAAATACATTTATTTAAATTTAAAACAATATTATACTTTGATAGCCTTTCTAATACTAAATGCAAGGTTTTAAGTAACTCATCCTCACAGGCCCCTTTCAACAAAATATCATCAAGATAACACACCACATTTGGTATGCCTGTTAGTACTTGATCCATTACAGATTGAAAAATAGATGGTGCCGGTGATGCACCATACGTTAATCTTGTATAACGGAACAATCCTAGGTGGGTATTAATAGTCATTAGGGGTTCTGAAGACTTACTAATTTTAAGTTGTTGGTACGCTCCTGATAAATCCAACTTACAAAATACATTTCCACCAGAAAGTGTTGCAAATATGTCTTCTAAATTTGGAAGTGGGTAGTGCTCAGTCTTCAGGACCTTGTTCAATGTGACCTTAAAATCAACACAAATTCTTATTTTTCCCTCATTTTTAGGGACAATAACAATAGGACTTGCCCATGCACTATGCTTGACAGGTACTAGAACACCCTGATCTACCATTGCATTTATTTCCTTCTCTACTTTATTTTTTAAAGCATAGGGCATGGAGTAAGCTTTATGAAAAATTGGTTCCACATTATCTTTTAAAATTAAATTTGCTTCAAAATGTTTAATAGTACTATTTGGTTTCAATTCAAACACATTTGGATATTTAGCCTTCACTTGCATCTCAATGGAATTTCCACTTAATTTATTTATGTTTTCAGAAAAGCTATTTTTCCATTTGGGTAAAATTATGTCTAGCCAATTTCTACCGAGTAATGGAACAAAATCTTTACCAGTGCAAATTACTGTTAATGGCAATAACTTGCTAATTCCTCTAAAAGTTATCCTAATTAGACATGTACCCAAAATGGAAACATAGTCTCCTGTAATCACTTTGAGCCTATTACTGGCTTTTTTTAATTGTAAGTGAGGAAAATAAGTTTTGAAATCATTTTCAGACATCACAGTGTTACAAGCCCCCGTGTCAACCTCAAACTTAACATATTTGTTATTATTAAGCTTTAAATTTAGGTAAAATGCATTACCCAACTGATGGATTGAATTATTCTGGTCCTGTTCCCTATCTTCTTCTAATGCACTTATCTTGAAGGGCTTTGATCGGCACATTTTGCTAGAATGACCCACTTTATTGCATTTAAAACACTTCCAATACTTTGCTCTGCACATAGTAGGATGGTGCCCTCCTCCTCCACACCTACTACACCAATTAGTTTTTGGTTTCTTTTCGTCAGTTACCTTGTGTAACATAGGCATTGGCACTAACATTTTCATTTCTTTTGTAGCCGTTTCCAAGAGCAGTGCTTTCTCTAACACAGCTTCGAATGACAATAGTTCTGCCTCTGACAGTATCTTCCTTTGGATATTTTCATCCGCCAATCCACACACTAACCTGTCTCTCAATGCTTCTTTTAAGGTGTCTCCCTGAAAACTGCATGTGCTGGCCATTTCCTTAAGTTTTACAACATAACTCTTAATAGATTCTCCGGATTCTTGATCCGTTTTATAAAATTTAAACCGCTGTGCGATTAAATTTGTTTTAGGCGTAAAGTATTGTTTAGCCAAATCCAATAATTGCTCGATGGTCTGTTCATGGGGCTTCTTAGGGCTCACCAAATTCGCAAGAATCTTGTATGATTCTGGCCCAATAAAAGTCAGGAACAATGCAACAGTTTTTTCAGCTTTTATGTCGTTGACGATCTTGTACTGATCAAACCTTTCGACCCAATTATTGAAATCCCCGTTTATGGGGTCGAAGTGTTCTATGTGGCCAATGTATGCCATCCTCGTCGCCAATTTTATATATATAATGAAACAATCATTAATGTGTGGCTGGACGTTTAATCAACATAACAACAATTCACAAATTCACAATAGAAACTACAATACTGTTACAAACGTCAGACATAGTCTTTTTCTAGAACAAAAATAAACCATAGAGTATCTAATCACTAAAAATCATCATAGATTAAAACTCACAATATGGATTAAAGTTTGTACATAACAGATACGAGATACAAACTCTTAAAAATGCTTAATTTGCAATATATAAAGATACCAGAAAATAAATAATGTGCATAATTTCAATTATATTAGTATTAATTGGTTTTTCACACGATGTAATTTTTGGAGTAATTTACTCATATTTTATACAAATAAAAGCCTCTATTTTATTAAAGGTATATTAATAATATAATAATAATAACTTTATTTCTAATAACCGTACAAAAAATTTTATGCCATATCTTCCATATTAAATTGAACTGGGAGCTAATTCTACTAAATAAATTTTTTGTCGAATCGAAAACGGTACGAAAATTAGTAGAATTGGCTCCCTGTATTATGAGAGCCAGCCTTCCTAATTACTGTTACAATTTATTATTGCAAGCGATGTTCCAAAGAAATAAATACAGAAAGCGATTAATAAACAAAACAGAGCCAAAATGTTTATATTAAAATTATAATTTTAAATATTTAGGTTACATATATATTAATGTAAGATAGTTTTAAAGATGTATCTACGAGATGATGACGGACCATTCGTTCAGGGGAATTTCTTGCCCAAATATTTGGATTGCCATGCTTAAAGCCGTTATTGCCAATAACATTTGACAAGTTCTTTATTTTATAAATAATATGATATTAATAAATTCAATTTATTTTATTGTTTTTAAACGTACTAAGCTTTTGTTAATCTAAGCATTGGTTTATTTAATAGATCTTAAATAAAGCATTTAGTATCACAAATGATACCGGACAACAATGTCTGTCTATATAATATTGTAAGCATTCGATATACTGTAGTTATTTTGTGGAAAGATACTCTAAATAGCACGAAACATTGCCAAAGCAAAAGTGATTGTCTAGGACTCTCCAATCGCATGGGCCAGACGAAGTTGGTCAAAAAGCGCTTAGTATACCCAGTAGAGTACGGGACCTATCCCTCGAAGTGAGAATAGACTCACTTTAGGGGAAAGGTCCTGGGCTTTGAGACACACCGACCCTCATAAAAATATATCTATCAGTCAATAATATATATTGATATTTTAATATCTTATGTGAGGAGAATACACTTACTTTAGAGCATGGGTTCGGGGCTTTAAGACTCACCGACCATCGGATATATACCTCTCAACCAATAATACAAATTGAAAAAATGAATAAATATTTTACCTTACACCAAAATATTGCAACACGAACAACATGTGATTATAAAGTAAAAAAAAAAAAACAATAGATTAGATAATAGTGTACAGTAGATAATATTGATAGGTATGCACACCTATATCTGGTCTGGGTTGCTTTGCTTTTGTTTAGTATGTTGTCGTTAACTTTATTAGTAGAGTGAAGTGCCTGACATTATGTGGACTCGTGTGTGGTTCGTCGCCGCATGCGCAGTGTACGCTGCAGGTAAACATTACCCATTAACCTAAAAAAAATCTTTAGGACACTGTTTCCTAACCTAGGGGTAATAGGCTAATTAACTACTTTCACTTTATAAATAAATAGTCCATTAACATCTGAGAAATAATGTAGAAGTAACAGCATGTCCGCGATCAATAGTTTCGGAGATATAGTGCTGTTTGTAGAGCTTCTGCTAGTCGGCCGAAAATGCTCCCGACAAATTCAAGCCATGAAGTGACGTAACGCCTTGCTAAGTCATTATTTATCGACGGGAGAGCGAAAATTTACTATCTATAATTTCACTTTGCTTCGGAAGGCACGCTAAGCCGTTGATTTAATTAATCGTTAAGTGTTCGGTGACTGTCAACTTTAGGACAAAGGCCCATTTTTACTATTTGCACCCATAATAGGGAAGGACTGTTCCCCAACAGTAAGGACATATATAAGCTGATATTGATGTTAAAGCCAGTGAATTAGTCCCTTCTTGTAATCTTTGACATCGCTTAATCGTGAATGTTAATTAAACATGTGATATAAGCGCTTTTATATATAACCAACAACTTCGAACTGACATCAAACCTGATATCAGTTCGAGACCTGTCCTTATCAGAACGGATATATATTGACAGTTGCCAAGATTTTATATGAATACTTATAATCTATAGCTTAATATTAATCTATTGAAATAAAACATAAATTTAAAAATTGCTTCAACATTTGGTTGTCGCGTCAGGATGGATGAGTGAGATCACAGCAAATACACAATCCTACAATTCTGTCCCGCAAAAGGATTGTCCCTTTTTATAGTACGGTGAAACACATCAAAAGTAGGGATTCCTTTGTGGATGGAATGAAAGGCTGTAATATTCTTCTATTTATTTATATTATTAATATAATATTTCATACAATTATTATAATCTAATATATTTAATTTGCAATCTCTATGGTGGAGGCGTCGGGAAAAAAATATCAATCGGAGACAACGCGAATTCAAACTCGAAAATTATATATTTAAAATATTAGCTGCCAGCATTGACCATAAATCGTATTCGGATTTATAATTAAGTATACATTTTTTTTTAGATGTTTTGAGGCCTGCAAGCTGAATGCGTCTTGCGAAAACTTGGCATCAATTTGGTTGACATTGCTTTCAACCAAAATGCATTTAACATTCAATACCTGTATTTTGTATCTATTGTTAGATATAATGTATAAATCGAATTTAGGTTGGGTTGAATCGGATCCACACAATTTTGATTAATCCAATACCAACCAGATTGAAGTTAATACACACATCAACATCGTCTAGGGATATTTTAATTATTGTTAAATTTCTCAGTTTTTTTCTGAATAACATGTTTATATTTTATTTTATTAAGTATATATTAAGTATATTATATATAATTAAGTATATTAGAATAAAACATTATAGGATAAAACATAAATATTTAGTAGTAACGACGAAAAGTAGAATAATGGTAAAAATAACGATAAATGTGTTTTTCAAGAAAAAGTGAAAAATATAGCGAAATTATGCTAAAATCAATAGTCAGTAAAACCACTCATGACATTAACAACGGTCCTGCAAATGATTTTTCATGATTTGAATCAACTTATCAAAGTCTTTCTGCGGGATATTCTCCCAGGTCCTGGAAAGATGCAAAAAAATTTGCTCTTCAATGACAATGTTTGTAGGTAAATTCCTCAAAGCCCTTCTTTGGAGCATGTCCCACGTGCGTTCTATGGGGTTTAGGTCTGGTGATTGAGCGGACCAGTCTAAGACCGATACATCGTGCTCCTGCAGCCAGCTGGTGACCACTCGCGCTGTGTGGGGACGAGCATTGTCGTGCGTGAGCGTAAATTCTTGACCCATTTGTAGTCGATGTGGGTAGACTATTGGTGCTAGCACTTGGTTGAGGTATTTTTTAGCGGTCATGGTGTTTCTGATCCAAACGAGGTCTTTTCTTCCACCAACACGAATTCCCGCCCAAACCATAATCGTCCCGCCATGGTATGGATGGACTTCCTGAGGGTGTTACAGACGTCTCTAACGACCAGGAGTTCGCCATACGCGTACTCTTCGCGAATCAGGATGGAAACCGAATCGGGACTCATCGCTAAACATCACTACAGAAATGTTCACGAGCCCACTGTAATCTTCTTCCACGATTTCCTCGGCGTAGTGCAGGAGTACGAAGCGGTCTGCGAGCATGAAGATTAGCTTTATGCAGTCTTCTCCTCACAGTTTGGTTACTCACAAGCAACTGGTGCTCTGACTGGCGCCTTTGAACAAACTGCATGGCCGTAACATTTGGAAGCCTTCTCGCAGAAATTTGCAAAAATCGGTCTTGTCGTTGGGTGGTTATACGTTTCCCGCCTAGGTGTCTTTCAGCCACTTTACCAGTAGTACGATAACGTGACCATAACCGTGATATCACGTTTTGTTTTGTTCCGATGTCCTCAGCTATACTCCGTTGAGCAGCCCCAGCTTGGAGCATGTCTACTGCCCTTAACATTTCCTCTCTTGTTAAATGGCGTCGCTGCATAATGCATACAGTAGCACAAATTAAAACTTCGAACTTCGCTTGACTTATGCCGAGAACTTGTGTTTGAAATTATTTTTTTAAATTCAATTATGGATTCATCAAAAAAGGCGTACAAAATAAGTTTTCATGAAAAGATTTTAAAACCGGTCAGTATTTTTTGAATTTAGAACTTTATACAAAATATCCCTAGATGATATTGATATATGTGTATAACTATATTGGCAGTGTACCGACGCAACAAGTCTGCCAGCCGGAGGGAATTCATCGTTATATGTTTATGCCAATTTTCGACGCCGAATTTGAATTACAAAACTAGTTGCAAGAAATTATTTTTACTAACAATTTCACGTGTATACGTCGAGTTTCACAATGCATGCATTAGTATAATGACACTGGAGTAGTTTCGATTCATGCGCATATTTTTTATAAAATTAACGTCACGCAACTATTTTCATCACTATTTTTATTAAATATTTATTTGGACACATGGAGAAACTAATGTCGCAACAGCACTGCGGATAATGATGCTTTGATGTTGACAGAGATAATGTTGATTTCAAGCTATTACGAAATTAGTTTCACATGAGCTGCATGACATTAATTTGTAATGTTAATTCAGCTTCAATATCCATTTATATCTACACGCACAAAGCGCGCCAGTTCGTGCCGGCACAGACATTGACAGACAACAACAGACACCGTTTGCTCTATTTTTTTAGAATTACTAATATTCTTGTTGTAAAATTCTATGGTTCACACAGATCTATCTGTTCGGTATTTTATTTATTTATTTTTATTTTATTTTATTTTATTTATTTTAAAGAAAACTTACAGCTGTGTTTAAGGATATATCAATTCAATATATGCTGAAGGCCATTTAAAAGTTTTCACATATGGTTAAAAAAAAAAAAAAAACAGGGCGGTACGAAAAAACAGTAAAGAGGTAATATACTAGGCAATACTTAAGAAATAATAATTTGTCAGCATACGTTTTAACTGAATGGCTGATGTATTGAACAAGTCGATGTCTAATTTCTTCACTACGTCATTAAAGCGCCCGCTCGCCCTCATCGTATAAGCATTTAATCTATAATTGGTTTTACATAATGGTATATGTAAGTTGCAATGTCTTCGTCCTCTGCCACCACCATACGGAACATGTAAACCAATGCGCTCCAATAGTTCGGGACAATCAATTGACCCCTTCGCTATATTCAGCAAAAAGGTGAGATCGGCAATGTTTCTCCTCTCACTAAGCGGAAGGATATGGAATCTATGACAACGCTCAATGTAATCCGGGGTAAAAGTCTTAGTCCTATATTGCAAGTAACGCAAGAAACGCTTTTGTATTTTTTCAATGCGCGTAATATAGACATTATAGGATGGATTCCAAACTTGCGAGGCATACTCCAAATGACTACGCACAAAAGCACAGTAAAGGATTTTAAAGGTCTTTCCCGACTGAAAGTCGGATGAGATACGCAATATAAAGCCGAGTGCCTTTGACGCTTTAGCTATGATGTCATTTATATGAATGTCAAAAAGCAATTTTGTATCAAAGGTTATTCCCAAATCCCGAATACAACCCACTCTTGTAACATCAACACCCAAGAGTTTATAATTAAACGTGATCGGATTGGGTTTACGAGTGAACGAACACACATAACACTTCGAGACATTAAGCTCCAACTTATTAGCCATACAATAGTCCTCAAATCTGAAAAGATCGTCCTGCAGAAGTTGGGCACTTGGTTCAGAATTTATAGGACACAAAATCTTCATATCATCAGCATACATAATGATCTTTGAGTATTTAACACTAGAAGGGCCATGGCCGTCAATTTGACGGCAAAATAATTTTGATGGCTAATAACTTTTTGTCTGTATTTCAGTTTGTATTCATATTTAATGACTTTTCATAACTTATGATTGTATAAGTTTTAACTTAATAAAAATAAATAAATAATGATTGATATGCGGGGTATGCTTACTCATACCTAATAAGACCGGACGCCGTCAATTTGACGGCACTTGAATACTTTGAAGTGTTATAAACAAAAGTTTTGTTTCTACCTTCTTATCTTACCTATATATTTATATGTTGTGTTTATTGACATGACTTACAGTTTCAACTGATTATTTGAAGAGAATTGTCGTGTGTTTATTTTATAATGAGTTCCAATCGGCGTTCCAAACAGCTCTCGAGTTTAGAAATAGAACGAGAGTTATCGCAACTTTGTAATATTGTAGAAGATGACTCAGGTGATGAAAGTGGCAATGAATTATCAGTAACGCATTGTGATAACGAAGATGAAGACTTTCAGCTAGACCAAGAAAGTTCTACATCTGAGGATTCAGAAGCCGACATTCCAACTGAAAGTCATTTCGACAGTGAAACGCAGGACAGTAATTTACACAGCGAACGTGGTATACGTAGAAGTCGTGGCAGAAGACCTGGATCCAGCGGAAGAGCAGTGCATTCGGGAAGTATAACACGTGGTGGGAGGCAAGTCAGAACGTCATCATTACCCGAAATAGGTATGAGACAAGTGGCTAGTGATGGCACTGAATGGACGTGTATTCCTAGTTTTAGTGGTGGAACGACGGGCCGTCGAAGTCGGCAAAATGTACTGAGAGAAAACCCAGGTCCCACTCCATATGCAAAGCGGTATGTAGAATCCAAAAAAGTTATTACTTCTTGGCGTCTTTTTATTCAAGAATTTATATTACGACGCATAAAGTTGTGCACTGAAACTGAAGCACGTATCAAATGTCAAGATGAATCGTGGGAAATTTCTTTAGATGAATTAGATGCTTTCATTGGACTGATTTATGCACGTGGAGCTTACAACATGAGCCATTTAGACCTAGACATTTTATGGTCCTTAGAATGGGGTCCGCCAGTTTTCAAAAATACTATGAGTAAAAATAGATTCAAAGAAATAATAAAATATTTACGATTTGATTTGAGAAGCACGCGTAATACACGTTTATCTACTGACAAATTTGCAATGATTTCTGATATATGGAATAATTTTATAGAAAATTGCCAAATGTGTTATATTCCTGGTGAAAATATGACTGTTGATGAGCAGTTATTTCCATCGAAAACACGTTGCCCTTTTTTGCAATATATTGCGAACAAGCCTGATAAATTTGGAATAAAGTTTTGGTTATTAGTGGATGTTGAGAGCAAATATCTGTGTGGGGGTTTTCCTTATTTAGGAAAAGATAGTGAGCGCCTAAGTAATATGTCGTTACCAGAACATGTTGTTATGAAATTGTTACAACCTTACCTCAAAAAAGGTCGGAACGTTACAACGGATAATTTTTTCACATCTCTAAAATTGGCAGAAAAGCTTAGATCTGAAAGTACAAGTATTGTTGGAACAATGAGACAGGCAAGACGAGAAGTACCAGCGAATTGTAGAAACATTCGTACAAAGAGATATGAAACCTTTATACTGAAATCGGCAACAAACACAACCCTAACAATTTATCAAGGTAAACCTGGGAAAAATGTCATTGTATTGAGTACATTACACGAAAATATTCATATTGATGCTGAGTCAAAAAAAAAACTACCGGAGACTATACAATTTTATAACGAAACTAAGGTAGGCGTGGATATAATTGACCAAATGGCACGAAAATACACTGTAAGAGCTGGAACACGAAGATGGCCAGTCCACGTCTTCTATAATATTCTAGATTTGGCCGCCATAAATTCATGGATTATTTATCGCCAAGTTACAGGTGAAAACATTTCTCGTCATAATTATATTCTACAACTTGTAAGTGAACTTCGCGCAGAGTACGTGAATAAAAAACAAAGTGCATCAGCTTTTCAACGTTTGGATAACATAACTATTGAAGAAGAACAGCCTTCTACATCACAAAAAAGACGACAATGTCAAATTAATTCAAAATGTAAAAAGAACCGCACTTGTGACTTATGTACTATTTGCCAGAAAGCTGTTTGTGGTCAATGTGTAAAAAAAGTATTTAAAAAAATTATTTGTAATAAATGTTTTATGTAACTAATCAAAGTATTTAATTAAAAGCATTAATTAAAATTCGTAATTTTGTTTTTATGACACACATAGGTACATATTTCAATCATATTTTCTCCGTAATTATCATATACCGTCAATTTGACGGTCGCGGTCTTTGAAGGTATGCAATTTCCCCGACCCTTCTAGTGTTAAAGCACGAACAAATGTCGTTAATAAATATATTAAAAAGTAGAGGTGCCAATAAGGATCCCTGAGGCACACCAGATGGAATTGGCATTGATAGAGATAAATAACCACCAAGCGCTACTGTCTGACTTCTATTTTGAATGTACGAAGTGAACCACCGAAATAAGTTACCCCGTATACCCATTGATTGGAGCTTGTGAAGTAATAGTAAGTGATCAATTCTATCGAAACATTTACTGTAATCAGTGTAGACAATATCTACTTGTGACCGCTCTGCCATTTTTTGAGACAGGTATTCACTGCATAAAATGAGATTAGAGGTCGTGGACTTGCCTTTTAAAAAGCCGTGTTGCTGAGAAACAAAAACTTGCCTTAACGAGGCGTATAACTGATTGTAAACAATTTTTTCTAAAATTTTTGCGAATAAACATAATTTTGAAATAGGTCGATAATTTTCAATGACATCTTTGGCCCCTTTCTTATGTATAGGAGTGATATAGGCTGATTTCCAAATTCGCGGCACAGCCCCTTCAAGCAAAGATCGTTTAAATAATATGGTAAGCGGTGTAACCAGGCTTACAGCGCACTTGATAATAAAAATAGCTGGAATGTTATCGGGACCTGCTGATTTATTAAGATCAAGGGAATTAAGTAATTTATATATCTCCTGGGGGTCAATATAAATATCCGCAATATCAGCAACAGATTCATTACATTCCTGGGTGATGCCCAAATAATCAGTGTGTGTGCTATTAAGAAACGTTGAATGGAAGTACTCACTAAACATGTTACAGATCTCATCACCCCCACCCGAAACGCGTTGATTAAAATGCATAACTGCTGGAAAAGAGCTACTATTGTTTTTTAATTTGACATATGACCAAAAAGCTTTGGGGTTTTTAGTATATAGCCAGAGACAAAATACCGATATGAAAGGCGAAGATAATTGTCTATGGATGTCTGTTGGCGTCTGTGAGATCGTGTTACTAATGAATGACATCAATTAAATAGACACTTTTTTGAATTAAAACTTAAATAAAAATAAGCCGACTACAAACTTAAAAAAAATATAATAAATAGGTAGCTTTTGAGACAAGTATTATTTATCTTTTTTTTTAAGTTTGAAGTCGGTTCTATTATTTAAGTTTATATTTGAGTCCTTTTAGTGATATTGATATATTCTTTTAATAATAGAATATATTTTTTTTAAATAATGATTTATGAAAGTGTTTCATCTACGGGAAGCTACATAATACGCGTTGGACATCACAGAAACAGCTAGTTTATTAGAAATTAATTCACAATTTAAGAAAAAAACAATTAAAATACCTACTTTCATAAAAATATACATATTGCTTGAACATAGAAAATTCACCTTACGGATTTTGAATGTATTCCAGATACGCAATGTCTTACCATATCATCTAAATATTTGGGGATATTTAGTGAAAAGCGTATTTTGTTTTGTTATAAAAGGGAAACTACTGTTTCGTAACATTTTAATGGGACCATCTCGATCCATTAAGCTGTCGAATAAAAGAATTTTGAAAATCGTACAGCAATGGGCAGCCACCGTCCATATAACCTCCTCTTCTTGGATTTTGAAGACAGTTAAAAATATCCTGAAATGTTCAAATACTAAATTCTTTAACGACACTAGCTGTAAAGTACTTCTTGTCCAGTGAATAGAATCTTTGAATTTTCGCAATTTTTCAGTGGTGTTTTGAGGAAGGGGCCAAACGAAATTTCTGGCTCGCTTAAAAAACCGTAGATCCGTGTCTATACTGATTTAATCAAATGAAAGATAATTCAAAAGTTACATTCTTAGTTAAGGTATGTGGTTGCGACAGCGCTTTGCTCCAGTTGAGTTCGAGACATTTTTCCAAAAAAAGTACAAATATAATATTGCTTTTCTACATATATATGAACTTATCTTACGAATATAGTGCCAGCTCCTTGCAGTAAAACAATAACCTTTGTAAACCATTTTTTAACTTAACGCAGGTGACATCACAGCTCCCGCGCAAGAAACTTTAAATATCGGTGATGCATTGGAAACTTCAATCGAGACCTTTAAGTACGATAACTTCATTTGTAGCTTAGAGACACCAAATAATGAAATAATCCAATTCGTGCAACACAATGATTGGAATAGAGAAAAATATGAACTACGAGCGCCGAATCCTATGACTGGATGTGCTGTTACTGTCACCATAACTGGTCCTGAAGATAACGGAATATGGAGGCTGTTCATTGAATTCGAAGACAAAACACCTGTCAGTAGATTTTTTAATGTCTTTGTTAAAGGAATCCAAGATAGCGGTAAGTAATATAGAGGTTCTTGTCCGAATTAACATGACACCTGAAGGCCTCTTTCTCCGAAAACGAAATATCTATTTTCAAAATGCTTACATGATTAATTTCGCATTCACAATACTATACTGAAAAATATTTTTAATGAAAAAATGCTCAGGATGCCAGGGCCCAAGTGGATTTTTTAAGCATCAGTTCAATAAGAATGCTAATATGACTGCAAGGAAACCTATTTTTTGATAATTTATGATGCAACGAAAGTAGGACCTGTCATTGCCTCTGCAGCATATGTAATTTTGACGGTTATGATTTTTGCAAAATTATAAGAAGGACCCAACATTTTTATATCTCTTCTATCTATAAATAAATATCTATACCTTTCTGTAGATTAAGAAAACAATGGCAAACAGTTTTGACTTTTACATGTGCTTGCAACAGCCTATGTAGACTGAATAAATATGATACAGTATTGATTTATCGATACAAGTAATTATTAAAAAACATATATATTTGTTTGCATCTCAATAAATATTGCATTGTATAATACCTATTAATTAAATAGAAAAAATACCAATCTTGTAGTTACAGGGCTATTTATGTTGATGTCAACCACATCCACATACACACGCTTTGTTAGAATAATCAGCATAGTAACAGAGTAATCAACAGTGATACAGCTTAAGGCTACGGCAGTAAGGAAAACTCCGATAGCAACCCCACTTAGAGATTCCATTGAGGTATCCTTTTCTGAGGCTAGGAAGAGATCAGGATCCTGGTGGGATGTCGTTCGTGCTCCTATCTTATTCCTCCCCTCCTAATGCGGAAAGGCACTCCTGGGGCCGGCTCACTGTCCCTCCATTTGCACGGTTTAAAACTCCTAATACGATAGTTAATATTATATCTTTAATTAATTTCTTATAGATGCATTAAACAACGATGAAAGAGAAATAGAAAACCTCGGCTCAAAATTTATTACTACTCATGTTGGAGCTTTACATAAAGTTATTATTAATAAATATGATTTATTAAAAACTGAAAGCTGTCATTTAATAAGCAACGATGGCACAGAATATAACAATACGAACATAGAAAGTGCAATCAACAAATTTATATGGATAGAAGATAACAATGTAGCATGTGGAGTTCAATTTGTAGCTGGGGAAAATATGATTGGAAACTGGATATTGTTCTCAAGAGAAATTAGACATTCTATTGATAGAATTGAAAAAAGACTATCTTTTAATATCTACATCGAAGGTAACATACTATTAGAAACTTCCTTGAATCATTTACGTATATCAAGTCACGTCTTATTGATAAGATCGAAATGGAAATGATAAACTACTTAATATTTTAATAATTAATAATTCATTTACCTTTGGTTATCTCTAACTTTTAGAACATGTTGAAGCTATGCCTGAAGAAATTATAGTTGCAGCTGGTAACAATGTTCATATACGTTTAGTTAATTCTCCACCAAAATACCTTCAACAAACTTGTAAGCTTGTGGGGCCAAATCAAGAACTGACTCAACGAAATTACGACAGAGACGACAACAATATTGAATCATGTGGTTTTATAATAAGAAATATTCAAACCATGGATAAAGGAATTTGGCATATCATATTTGGGAACAGCATTATATACAAAGCACCCGTCCAAATTACTGTTATCGGTAAAATCATTATTGTTATTATTTAAAATGACTTCAAAAAAATTTTAATAATTTCTACAAACTTCATTTGAAGTCTGAGAAAGTTTGTAATATAACATATGTTTTTATAATATGTAGATTTGAGAATAATATATAAATGAGCTGCCAAACTCATTACCATCACTTAATAGCAGTCGACTGAAATAGGCCTGCCTAGCGTATTGGACGCTCAATTTAACCCTGTTTTGGGTCACTCTCATTTACCTTCTATCCGCGACCTTCCTCAAATCATCCCTCCACCTTATCTAGAAGTCGTCGTACTCATTATCGGTTCTTCAACAGATATGCCCAACCCAGTGAAACTCATATTATTATTACTTGTTTCATAGTATATAATGAAACCTATTTATGTTACTCCTTATACTGTTATTATTTTAGGAGAAGATGGAGATTTCACACGTTATCTGAAATGGACTATAGACAGCTCTGTAGATGTGTCACTTGGTCCAGAAAACGCAACATATTGCCGAGTTGCAGATCCAGCAGGTCGTACGGTTTTCGAAAACTTTAGCCAGTGTCGCATCACCTTGGATAGAGTCTCTCAAAACCACAAAGGAACTTGGATTTTGATTGTGGGCTCACCGGGCAGGATTATAACAGAGGAACATAGGATCGACGTCTTCGTGACCGATCTAGGTGAGTTCATATTTTTATTTAAACTTTGTATCACAAATAAAGGTAGTAGATAAGGTATATATCTAAAAATTAATTGAAAAAATACTAATTGTTTAATTGCATTGATGCTTATAATACGCAATGATATGTTGCCCCCGATACACTTATACTCCATTCATTATAGCATTAGACAGAAGTTAACTAAGGTTCTTTTTATGGTATGCTTTGTGACAAAATATCAATAATCATGTTACTTTTAAGACTGACGGCTAATTTGCTATATATAACTTAAATACCAGCTGCTATACTTAACCGTGGTCGTTTAAGCTATCCATTAAAAATATTTATGAGTATTTGATTTAATTTAAATGATTTAATAACTATTACAATAAAAAGTGTTCATCTTAAAGAACCTAAAGAAGCAGGGTTAGATAGTTTCGGCACGATACTCATGTCACTATAACTCTATCAAATTTAAAACGTTGCCTAATCCATTCAAACGTTTCGGCAGTACAGCTTTTTATGTTTGTCAGATTATGATGTATTCATAATTGTTAAAATTCGTAATTTGGAATGCTACTGCGTTTCTTGTTGTTTTGTCGTTATCCGTGATTAAGTTGTTATTGTAATATTGTTGTTTTCTAATATTTTTGTATTAGTTGTTATCTTTTTGTTGTTCAATTTTATTAAATATGGACGATGCTGGTGCAGGCCCGAGTGGCCTACAACAATTAACTTTGACATTTCAGGAAGTTTTTCTAATGTCTTCATCAATGGTCTAATGATATCTGAATAAATGTTATAAAAGTAATAATAAAATGTTTATTTTGTTTACCTTTCATTTTTGGGCAAAAATATAACTAAATTCTATTGTAATGATATATACTTACAATTAGAATTTATCAAAACAACAATCAAAAGAACAGAAAATGCTGGCCTCATCTCAACCCTGAGGCATCGTAAAAAATAGAAAATTGCCCTTTCAGACTATCTAACGTTCAAACAAAACTAATATAAATATTTTTTAAATTTATCTTGAAAATAAAATGTTCTGCACTGCTGCTTCTGGGATCCTCTTTTTTCTAATGTTATAATGAATGGAGTATAGATGGCTGTAGTCTGGATTGATACGTATGCGTAATAAATACACTAACATTCTGATTTTCAGCAAGGGAATACAAGCTCCTTAGAATAAAGTCTGCACATGGAATGCAGCAAAACAGTTACCTAAAATAGATAGTTTCTTCTATTTCACACATGTTATAATACCAAGCATGAAGTTTTTATATCAAGAGAAATCTAAGGCACTTTACTAATTTCGACTGGGCAAATCCTGGCTACCCGTTCATCCAATCATGATCAGCCCTTTTACGCCCTCACTGCAGAGGCTCAGGCCTTCTTTACGGATGGTTAAGTAAGATGGGCCACGACCCCCACGCTGGCGTAATGCGGATTGGAGGGTAATAACGACTGCAAATGCAGTCAGGACCAACGGCTTAACGTACCTTCCGAAGCACGGAGTAGCTCGAGATAATATTTTTTCTTGGTCATCCATCGCGTGACTGACCCTTGCGAAAGTTGAAACAACGATCATGGGCCGCGGCGCGGCGCTTATCCAATATGCCACGTTCCCCTACCGTTCATCAGGTTCTTAGAAACGTTGTTATATGATTTACGGCTCTGTTTTCCAGAACCGAGACCAAAGGTAATCACAAGCGTAGAGAAACAGCAGACAGAGGTACTCTTATCATGCGTACTTCCTGGTGACCACCAGCTGCGAACCTGTAAGTTCAGGGACCCCCAAGGCAGGGTGCTCCTTGCTTTGGAAGGCGTAGAAGAAGACCGCTACTCATTCCACGAAGGAAACGTTAAGTAAGAATGGTTGTTTTATTTAAAATCGATCTGCGGGTTGGTAAACGTTGAAGCATTTTTGAGGCTTTCGAACTGTAAATTGAACGGATATGGATGGGTACTCTGAGGGATTATATATGTTTGTGTATTCTACATACATAAATACTGATAGATATTGCTACATATCGAAAAATACAGTTGCAAGTTCTTATTTGATAAATAAATTGTAACTAAAAAATGTAAAAATACTATAAATGTTTTATGTCACAAAATCTAATTAATATTTGTTTCACAAAAGATAAATGAACTCAACCACCTGAAGATTACGAAATTAAAATACATTAATGTAAAAACGTTGTAAACTGCTTCTGTTTAATGTTGAATAAGTTACCACATATAAAGTATTTAGGTATATTGGTAGACCATGACTATCCTGGCGTATGCATATTGAATTAATAATAAATATAATAAGAAAAATTATTTACACTTTCAAAATATTACGATATACTGCCACAAATTTTATTTTAAAACAAATATATGTATCCTTGGCAGTCTATACTGGCATATTGCTTACCTGGGGAGGTGCAACAAAAACTAAATTATTTTCACATATGGTGTATTTCTGTTGCCGTAACAACAAACAAATATAAAAATCTAGAATTATATAAACATTTAATGGGGCTTCCATACAAGAAATGTGTTTGTTTTGCTTCTTTTCTTGCTCGTTCTGGTACGGAACCATTCGTGCGCGAGTCCGACTCTCACTTGGCCGTTTTTTTTGTATAATGTTACTAATCTTTCTTGTTATAAATAATAATAGAAATACCAACTAATTATTTACAAAGTAAGTAAACAATCAACGCAATATTGTCCCACCCAACCCTCCCATACAGCGCGCGCACCACCGCCACCCCCGGCGCGTCTTCTCGCAATTAACCGACCGCACGCGCATAGCACCAGAATCACAGAACACTTTCAGAATAATCAGTTAGTAGTTAATAGTAAGACGATTGATATTCGAATGATTATGGTGGGGAACTACTAAATCGACAATCAAATGCGTAATTTACGATTCAGTCGATAGTTTTTTTTGCAACAATCGCCCATCGCTACCCCGAACTTTCCTTTTGGATTTTATTGCTATAAGTTCGTCATTACATTTTACTAATTTTGACTTACGGAGTCTGCTTTTTTAATTTCGAGTTATAAAGCATAAACATGTACTATACCTCATTAGGAAATAACATTTTGTTTGAGTTATAAAGTCTAAATAATTTGAGATATTGCGGAATTGGGGCTTCAGCGGAAGGGAATAAAAATCATTTTCGACGTACTGAGGATTATGACTTAACGAAGTTCGAGTTATAGAGGTTCCACTGTATATAACTTCTTAGATAGCGCTTTAGGCAATAATTTTAGGAATGAAACAGCAACGTTACTAAGCAGAATAGTGATTTGAGACAAAAACTTTATAATATAGGTAAAAGAATTAAGAAAAGCGCAGGCTGTGTTTCGACAAACTTTAAATCTACGATAGCTTACTAATGGCGAACGACTAATCATAATTTTACAGTTTTCTTCAAATCTACTTTTCTACGTAGACGAAGTCGAGGGCACAACTAGTAGTAATAACAAAGATACTCGTATAATCCAATTTCGTCGTATCTACTAGTGTTTAAACGGTTACTTAATTCTTTTTATGCAGTGCTGTAGTACCTACGTGATACAGTAGTTTCCACACAAATCACAGACGATATTTGAGACGCAAAGAAATTATCTCATAATTTACCTTAAAAATAAAAATTATAATAGACTATATTAATACATTTCGTACGTGTATGTTTTATCATGCTGTGTCAATTAATAATCAATTCATCAATCATACTTTTAATATTGATAGGAAATTATTTATTTTACAATTTACTTTAAAATAGAACTAAAACTATGGGCGAGGGAGGGGGGAGGGATGTCGTGCTTATCTCAGAATAGCCTGGTGACCACATCAGAATATTCACTAACGCCTTTTTCCAAATTATTTATTTAGGGGCGGTAATATGAATGTAAATGCTATTCAAACAAAATGAAATTTCAGTCATGAATCTAATGTCAGCACTGTCAGCTGTGCTCTTCGTATTAAAAACCCAGTTAATACAGACCTCGGAATCTGGCGGTGCGCTATGGAGACTGCTGATGATGATGTGTACTTCGGTTTCTTGCAAGTGGCTGACAATGTCGTCACAGGTAAATTATTCTAGTGCTTTAGCCACTTGATAATTCTTTGTTTTCCAATATCCAAAAAACAATTTGAAGTTTGAATAAAATATAGGTTACTAGTCAGTTGATTTGCTTCTGCATAACAACACATTGTTTTTTTTAAATATTGGATTGAATCACGATACTCTTTACGTTCAATACAATTGACTAAATGTCTAGTTGGCATTTAGCTCTCGATATTTAAGAAAACATACACTACATTATATAAGGAGTGTCCTTTCAAAACGCAATTATTGTCTTTTTCAGAACCTACTTTATCTGCTTATGAAAGTTATATAACCAGAGTAGAAGGAGAGTCTGTGACTATGAGTTGCTCGATTCAGTCCGAAATTAGGTACTGCTACTTCAGAGCTGATAATGGAACTATCTTCAATGTCAATCCTGGTAGGTAAACTTCTAACAACATTCTATTAACGATTATAATGTTCGTTGTATTACTCGTAAAAAAAAATAAACACAATGTGGACTGGGGGTCAATTCTACTAAATAAATTTATTTATATACTAAATAAATAAATTTTGTTTAAATCGAATCGAAAACGGATCGAAACCGAACGAAACTACCGGTTTTTCTATTCTACTATACTCCATTCACTATAACATTAGAAAAAAGAGGGTCATAGAAGCAGCAGTGCAGAACATTTTATTTTCAAGATAAAATTAAACAATCTATATTAGTTTTGTTGAGACTTTGAACGTTAGGTAGTCTGAAAGAGCTGGGCAATTTTCCATTTTTTATGATACCTCGGGGTTGAGATGAGGCTAGCATTTTATAAATTCATCTTTTAGTCCCAAGCCAACATGGAACTAAAACTGAAACTATCTGTGTGTTTTGATAAATTCTAATTGTAAGTGTAATAAGTTAGACTATTGATGAAGACATTGAAAAAACTCCCTGAAATGTCAAAGTTTGAGGGTAGGTATGGGGGCCTAGAGCGTAATTTTTGTAGGCCACTCGGGTCTGTACCGACATCGTCCATATTTACCAAAACTTAACAACAAAAATAAAACAATAACATCACGGAAAACGGCTAAACAACAAGAAAAGCAGTAGCATTCACAATGGATGACAATCCCAGATAACGATTTTAACAATTATTAATGAATAATAGTCTGACAAAATTAAAAAGCTGTACTACCGAAACGCTTGAAGGAGTTAGGCAACGTTTTAAATTTGGTAGAGTTATAGTGACATGAGAATCGTGCCGAAACTATCCAACCCTGCTTCTTTAGGTTCTTTACGATGTACACTTTTTATTGTAATATTTATTAAATCATTTAAGTTAGTCATATACTCATAAATTTGTTTAATAGTTAGCTTAAATGACAACAGTTAAATATAGTAGCTGATATTTAAGTGAATATGTAGTAAATTAGCCGTCAGTCTTAAAAGTAACATGATTATTGATATTTTGTCACAAAGTATACCATAAAAAGAACCTTATTTCACTTCTGTCTAATGCTATAATGAATGGAGTATAAGTGACATACGATACAATTCAAGCTAAAATAGAACTGGATTCGACTTAAACAAAATTTATTTAGTAGAATTGCCCCCTGGTGTTGGCTCTAAATAATAGACAATAGTAGCAATATAAATTTATATGTAACATATTTTTTTATTATTTCTACAAGTATCTTCTATATTATGTTCAGGAATAAAATAGGTATCCTAGCCATTTGAACTACTACATAGGATTATACGATAACGGTTTGTGTCATTCACTTAAACTAATGGGCACGAGTCCGCTGTGGACTACTTATTTTTATTAATTTTTTGTTATAATGCATATAATGCATGCAATGTTATAATCCATTTGTTATAACGTGACATATTGATCGATAATCACAGAATTAACTGATGGCATATCTTTCGATATTGTCAGATTGTAATATTCTTGACTGAATAAATTATATTGAATTTTATCTGTTTTTCTGACGTAGGAATGAGTACAGACAGTATGGAATACGTGGGTGCCGGTTTCGAGGCCGGCGAGTGTGGTGTGATGATGCACAAGCTTCAACAAGTGGACTCCGGCCTTTGGAGCTGTCATGTAGGCCTGCCAGGAAACTCTTCTATGTTCGCACCAGAACAACAGAAGGGCATAATGATCGATATATTACGTAAGCTGTATTCCGATATTCCAAATAAGTCACTTATGATTATTATGTAGATATTGTGAAAAGCAAAATAGAGATAGAATTCTTTTAAAGGAGTTCCAACAAACGCAAGGAATGGATTACGCTTATGGCACGCCCAAAGCACATATTATTTAACAGTTACTTAGTCCCTAGCATGTCGGCAAGGATTGAGAGGCTTAATATAACATATATTATGCGTTCTTTCGTATGCGATTAACTTTGTCCTGGCTAATTTTGTGTCGCTAACAAATACCAATCCGTACTGGGCCTGCTATGTGAGTCATGGTTTTGGAGGGCCTGTGCACTAGAAAATAACCGCAAGGAATTCAGATTATTTGTCAGTGTAACAAGATTCATCATAGAAATACATTCTGTAGCCTTCTTAATTCCAATACTACGATAATAATATTTTGCAAGAGTCTGCCTCTTACATATAGGTTCTTAAAATGGAATAATTATTTAGTAATTCTTTTATAGTTATATTGACGGCATTTCTAAAGCCACGTCTAAACAATGGCCATAGTGGCACCAATGTAATGTATTGGAGTCAATAAGTCAATGTATAGATCAGACTTTGGGCACAATGTGAATATTACCTCCAATAACCATCCAATATCCAAATAACCAATAACAACGCCATATATTGTTCCGTCATATGTGGCGAGTTGCGGATCCTGTTCGAGCGTAATTCTTTTGTTGATAGTTGTGTAGGCTATTGTATATAAATAAATAAATAAGTAGATAAATGTATCGAAACCATATAAGCTGCTAGAGCAAATGTTACATTACCGTCCATATACTTTCGCTCTGCGACCGTCATTATTTGTATATATCCCAATGGTAAAAAATCAATTCAAGTTGGGTACCATTGGCTTTTATAGATTATATTTTGTATATGTCCCCAATCATACAGTAACGAAAATCGGTAAATATCTATAGTGACTTTGGAAGGTTAAAACAATACAATTTATTTTTTACAGCAATTTTCAAAGTATCTCAGGGGTTCAGGCATATTCAGGGTGGTATGGAAGTGACCGGCCGCATTTACGAGTCACGCGCAGTGGATTATTGCCGATACATACGCATCGATGGGCAAGGTGAATAATAGTATAGTTGCAGTGATGTCCGATTTCGGTTTATGTACAACAACTTTCCGCCAGTAGTACTGTATTACACATAAAAACCTTCCTTTTAATCACCATCAGCCAGTTGCATAAAAGTCCATTATAATTTTTATTCGTTTAAAGTGGCATTACCTACACAATTTTGACATTCATTAGAGCTTAAAGGCGTCATTATTGACCGTATATCTATTTAAAAACTGCATTAAAATCCGTTGCATAGTTTTAAAGATCTAAGTATACTTAGTGACAGACGGTCAGAAAGCGACTTTGATTTATATTACGCGACTTTGCTTTATATTGCGTAGGTTGATGTAGCTATTTGTATGTTTTTTGCTAAGTTCTTGTTATCTAAGATTTCTGTTGAATATCGAAAAGTGTCAAAAAATAGAAATTATAATAATTTGAAATATAATGAATTTCTTAATATTTTTCTGTTATTGTTTTGTTACAAGCTCTTGTCTTATATAAGTTAAAAGTATTTTTATTTCTTAAACTGAACTTTTCTGTATTCAGGATTCACAGATGACAATCTACCGATATATTACTACAGCTCGAGTGACACCGACAATGGTATCTGCAGATTATATATTAGGAATCCTACGCTTATTGATAAGCATCCGTGGACGATCGTCACGAGGGTGCGAGGGCAACGCGAGGAAATATCCAGAACCACAAATCCCAACTTTATTTTGCCACCGACACCGCTGCCACCGCCAGTACCACAACCACCAAATAACATTAACTGTAAGAACTGTACACAATTAAAATTAAAAATACGTTACATAACATTAAAACTACGTTATTTGGCTGCCCAACCCAGTGCTTGCAAAATATTTCAGCACTGCCATATATGTAAATATGGGAGTGCAGAAATATAACCACCAAATATTATTCATTCGTCACCAACAACTACTCCTCATGAGGAAGCTCCGTGAAAGATTTCATGATAGCTGTGAGATTTGTAGTTAGACGTCATTGCGCCAACTGGACGATCTTCAGCTCAACTGAAGCCCTAAAAAGTTACTAGGTAGCTTAACAGTGAGGGGGTCCTCCTGGGCATAGTTAAAGCAAAGTTTAACCGTACTTCAGAACTGTTGTTGCAAAGATTATTCGTGACCTCTTTAAGTTGCTCGTAAATTTTTCCATTTTACATATTTTTTCCATATCCATAGAGAAGACTTGTGTGTCAGCTTGAGTCATAACATTAAAATAACGATGATTACTTATTTTTATTACGATTTCAGCTTGGCACGCGGCCAGATTTTGGATTATGATCACGATGCTGAGTGTGACCATTGTCTTCTTTGGCCTTATAATGTCTGCGCAGAAGAATAGACGCTGGACCTCGGAGAGGGCGGCGGCTTTTAGAAACAGCTTCCGTTATAAGAAGAATCCTGACACAAGGAATGAGAATTCGCAAGTGTCAGCTGCTTAAATTTTTAAAGTAATTCTTATTTAACCTTCATTAATTAAAATTTATGTATTATCTAAATAAAATGTTTTACTTATTATATAATTATATTTGATTAATGTTGTAACCACACAATATTTACCTTCTATTGTCGATATAGAATTTTATTTTTATAAAAAAGTAATGTTTAAATCTAAAGATAAATATTTAAGTGAATGAACTTAGGCTATTACATCTGATGCGGATGGTGCTTAAAATCTATTAAATATACACATAAAGACAAAGATGAATACTTGATGAAATTAACAGTCGATGAAATTATTAAATCAGCGGCGAATCCTACTTCAAGCAGCTCTAACACAGTGTTGAGGTTTAATCGAACGAAATTTACTTTAAAAGGTAATAAAGGTATTATTTCACTGAAGTTACATGCTGTGACATCACTGTGCTTTTGTGTCAAGACAGCAGGTCGGGTGCAGGTCAGTCAAATGACACAGCCGATGATATACTGCGCATAGTATTATAATTTTATTAAAATCCCAAAATTTGTAAAAAATCACTACTTTTTGCCGTACTTCCATAGTGAAACTGCCCCCGATATTAACATATATTGTGACTCATGTCGTATTGTAGAGGGTAGTAATAGTGGTTGATGTGGATATTAGCTCTACATCTTAGTTAAAACAGGAGCTACTTACAGGAGTAGTAGTAGTAGGATAATTTTGAGTTTATCATTTAAAAATAAATAGACAAATTAATTTTTTCCTCTTTATAATAATAACAATATTAATATCATTTCTTTTAATATTATTAGAGCAAAATATCATAATGAAATTGATTAAATGGCTTATAATCATAACAAATCGAATTCTAACTACTACATCTACGTATACTAAATAAAGATATTTAAATATCTAGTAACGTACCTTTGCATTGAACGTCTGTGCAACTGGCTGTGAAATAGGTAAGTTAGCGAATACAAGAAGTATTGGGTAACATCTCATACAACAAATTCTCTAGCCATAGGGTACGAGAAAGAATGATAAGGAATGATAATTATGGCTTTGACAGCATCGTTACCAAATTAGTGATTTATCCCAATTTTAACCACCAAAATACATGTCAAAGAAGTAAGATGAAATACTGGGGGCCAATTCTACTAAATAAATTTTGTTTAAATCGAATCGAAAACGGATCGAAACCGAACAAAACTAGTTTTTAATGGTTTTTCTATTCTACTAAGTGACATACGATATTTGCCCCCTGCTATTGCATTTACTGTTTAATAATCAGTAAGTCAACTGATGATTATGATAATTAGATCGCGTTTCCTTTGAATATATGAACTTGTTTCCAGTTTCAGTATCTTGCAACCTGCCACTTAGCAAAATTTGAATTTGTCCATCTATCACTTTTTCTAAGAAATTAAATAAAATTTCGTTAATTCGTAAATAATTTATTTCAAGGATCCCTAAGATCTTATGTTGACATTTCGTTTTTATTAGACGCCCGCGGCTTCAGTATAGCTGAAGACGCAAACCGATACATTATCGACAAAAACCTGTTTAAGTGACGTTTAAGTACAGTTTGAGACGTGCTTAACTTTAAATACTCAATTCAGAAACCGGGTGTACGGCTTCCGCTCATGTAACGGGTTATTTTGTATGTGATTTTTTGCGGATTGTGATTTACGTTTAATCGCAGAGCTTTAAACCACGTAACATATTGAATTACCAAAATTAAAAGGAAACATGCACGTCAAAATAAGAAGACTTGGAACATTTGTTTTTGCTATCTTTACTCTGATATTGTGTTTGGCGATTATCTGATTGTTCTATTGTTAATATTTTTTCATTTCTGTTAACATGATAATTTTCCAATTTCGCCGGCGCGCGTGACAATAACTAACATAACACAACATGTTCTATTTTTGAGATTTTAATGTTTTAAAATGAATAAAATTTAGAGTCACAGTTAATGGTTTTGCCCATTTTGAAAGTTACAAGGAAGTGAACCTTGATATATCAGACTACTAGCTTTCCGCCAGCGGCTTCGCCCTCGTGGTCTTGTATTATACATAAAAACCTTCCCTTTTGAATCACCCTATCTATGAAAAAAACCGCATCAAAATCCGTCGCGTAGTTTTAAAGATTTAAGCATACATAGCGATATATGGACAGAGAAAGTAACTTCGTTTTATACTATGTAGTGATAACAGCTGTTCGCTGTTCAATTATATTTGTGTATTTTAGTTATAACGCGTTAAAGTTTTATATTAAAAAGTGACAGTGGCTAAAATCGGGCTTTCTGGCCTACAACAAGTACCATATTTCAATGTTATGTATATCATCAATAAAAATGTGTATATATATCAATAAAAAACTAGCTTTTGTAAGGATGAGATTTATCTATGTATCTATTTACATATATAATATAAAAATCCCCGTGTCACAATGTATATCATTAATAAACTTCGAAACTACTGAACCGTTTTTAATCAAATATTCCAATGTTTAAATCTGCAGCTATCTATTTACAGCGTTTACAGCGAAGTCTTAGTAATGTTAGAATGATACATCCCTATAGCATTCGTGTATGTACGCTTTAATTGTCAATGGAAGTTTTATAGACTACTAGCTTTCACCGGCGGCTTCGCCCTCGTGGACCCTAGGGAAATGTTTAGTGGGATAAAAAGTATCCTATTATCTAAGTCAGCTAACACCCTATCTGTATACTAGATTTCATCAAAATCCGTTCAGTAGTTTCGGCGTGATTGACGTACAAACATCCAAACATCTAAACATCCAAACAAAGAAACTTTCACATTTATAATATTATAATAGGATTAATGTTGTCTGTGGTTCCGTCTCTCTTCCTTCCCTTCTCGTTGGAGCTGCACAGCCACGTGTCTCTCTAATATTTCCCCTGTTTGAAATCTATATAAATATGCAACAATATGTTAATTCGTATGTTTAATTTAAGCCTTGCTGACGACCTATTTGAGATTGTGCTATATGTAAAAAGTGACAATACAAATGTGACCTGAAGTGATAGTCGTTTCATTCCACCAACACCCGTAGGTAGCTTGATTAAGCTTAGATTTGGGACACGGCCACATCTTGTATACTTATTAGTCTCCACTACGCTGCAAGCTCTACAACAAGTAATAGGGTTCCCGTTTTACCTCTTGGGCACGAAACCCCTAATAAAAAATAGAATCAAACAAATATTTGCAATATTTTCTACTATCTTAGATTATCTACTATCTTAGATCATAAAAAACCAGTTTTATCAAAAAAACATAACTACAGATTTAAGCAGCGGGATCTCGTACTATAAATTTTGTCTAACTTAAAAGATAGGATAGCTCATTACACGTAACAGCATTGGGGATAACGACTAATTTTTGTTTGTTAGTCCATCAGGTAGATTTATGAAAATTATAAAACACCTTTTTGAAAATTTTAACGAAATCAATAAATTAATGCGAAATATTGAATTAAGACGTCACGCTTTGGTACATTTTTTACAAAACTGTGACGTAGCGAGCCCCCACTCCTCAACTTTAATGCTTGTTTTCTAAGCTATTTCTTGTTAAATTAAAGTAAAAACAAATACGTATCTTATTTGTTTCTATTATCTGACAGACGGACTAAATAGAATATGTTAAATTAATAAGTGAAAAATTAACGCCCTGTTGCGCAAACATCCAATAAAATTGTCATTACATCTAGTTTAAAACGACATTACTTATACAAAATTTGAAAATAATGTTTTTTCAAATAATGTTTGTTTAAGTAACGTCAAGAGTAATCTAGAAAATAACATAAGAACAATAAAAAAGTGGATATTAAACCTTAAAGGACGTTTGTGCAACTGTGTGTTAAACCGAGTTACAGTAACACGTGACTGGGTCAGCCGGTAGTTTTATATAAGAATATCGATACCATATTAGGTACTTACTCGAATAAAATTTTAATACACTCATTAATATACCTAATTACTTTATCAAATAAATTTTTGTCACTGATAAATATGATAAGACATACAGTTTGATAATTATTTAGTTAGTGCGCCTCCCTATAGAGAAATATGAAGCTTCTTCTATTATTAATTAGTGTTTCCATCGCTTATTGTAATGGTATGATACATATTTCTTTTACTTTTAACATATTTTTAGGCAAGATTTACACCCGGTTTCTCAATTGAGAATTTAAGGTTGAGCATTTCTCAAACAATGCTTAAACCATCTTAAATGTAACTTAAACAGGTTTTTATTTCGGATTTTATTCATCAGTTGATATCAGTTTGATAAAACTGGGAATTATTGCCTTGTGAAGTGTAAAAAACTTAAGTTATTAAGAATAATCAATTGATCAGTTGAGTTTTGACTTTTCTCAATTCAGAAATATAGCTACTAAACTTAATTAAGGACTATTCTAAAGACATATAAGAGGTTAATTCTATTATGATTTAATTCCAATTATTTAATTTCTTTAAATATTGTTCTACCCAAATAGGTATCTAACCGCAATGATAATAATATGCCTAAAAGTATTCAGCAAACTAAAATAAAACACCTCTAAAGATTAAAGTTCAATCAAATGAATGTAAAACAATATGGACGCACATATAAATCAATCGAGACCAAAATCTTCGTTGCATCGTATAATTACAGAAGTCCCTTGGCTACCTTTCGGCTCCGTTATAAGATCAGCTTCATACCATATTAATATTGCATTGCCATCCATATAGTATGAATATATGCACGCAAAATTTCAGCTTAATCGAAATCTTCAAAAAGTGGTAAAACTTACAATAACACAAAATGAAACTACGTAAATAAAAGAATTTTCAAACATCATAACGCCAACTTATGGGTCGTTTTCATTGACTGTCGTTGTTTGGAATGAGTAGACCGATAAATTATAGGGTTGTTTGGAAAGTAATTTCTTTTTTTATCGGCAGAAGATTTGATTGTATTTTTTGCATCCAACTTCACACTTAAGCCATAAAAATTTTATATGGTTTGAGAGCTCATATAGCAAGGCTCGTGTGTGAAAAATTCCAATCAATTC